TTTGATCCTGTGCTACCTTTCTCCACCAAGCTAATACAATAGAACCTCAGGAGCGTGTTCATTCTATGGTGTGCACTTGCCTCTCCATCCGAAAACCCCCTTTTAGCAGTATTGCTGTTCGCTCCTGCGCTGCCTTCCCCTGCCAAGAGAATAAGAAACCTAGGAGCAAGTTCTTTCGACAGCGTGCACGTGACTCACTATCTAAATATACTCTTTTAGCAGTTTCTCTATTTGCTCCTGTCTTACCTTTCTCCACCAAGCTAATGAAGAAACTCATGAGCGTGTTCATTCGATGGTGTGCACTTGCCTCACCATCTAAAAAGATTCTTTTCGCAGTATCGATATTTGCTCCTGTGCTGCATTTCTCTGCCAAAAAAAAAAATAAGAAACCCAGGAGGTTGTTCATTCCACGATGTGCACTTGAACTCGCCATGTGGAAAGACGCTTTTAGCACTGTCACTACTTGATGCTTGCTACCTGTCTTCACCAAGCTAATAGAAAGAAATCCAGGAGTGTGTTTATTAGACGGTGTGCACTTGCCTCTCCATCTAAAACACCCTTGTAGCAGTATCGCTATTTGCTCCTGCGCTGCCTTTTCCTGCCAAGAAATAAGAAACTAGGAGCTAGTTCATTCGACGGTCTGCACGTGACTCACCATCTAAAAAGACCATTTTAGCAGTTTTCTCTATTTGTTCCTGTCCTACTTTCTCCACCAAGCTATAAAGAAACTCAGGAGCGTTTTCATTCGATGGTGTGCACGTGCCTCTCCATCTAAAAAGATCTTTTAGCAGTATCGCTATTTGCTCCTGTGCCGCCTTTCTCTGCCAAACAAGAAGAAACCAGAAGCTTGTTTCATTTCACGGTGTGCACTTGACTCATCATCTGGAAAGAACGCTTTTAGCACTTTCACTACGTGATCCTTCGCTACCTGTCTCCACCAAGCTAATAAGCAAGAAATCCAGGAGTGTGTTTATTCGATGGTGTGCACTTGCCTTCTCCATCTAAAAACACCTTGTAGCAGTATCGCTATTTGCTTCTGCGCTGCCTTCTTGCCATAAAGTAAGAAAACCAGTAGCTTGTTCACTCGGACGGCGTACACGTTACTCACCATCTAAAAAGGCCCTTTTAGCAGCCTCTCTATTTGCTCCTGTCCTGCTTTCTCTACCAAGCTAATAAGATACTCAGGAGCGTGTTCATTTGACGGTGTGCACATTGCCTCACCATCTAAAAAACCCTTTTAGCAGTTTACTATTTGCTCTTGCGCTGCCTTTCACTGCCATGAAAATAAGAAACCCAGGAGCTTGTGCGTTCTGAAAACCCTTTTAGCAGTTTACTATTTGCCCCTGCGCTGCCTTTCACTGCCATGAAAATAAGAAACCCAGGAGCTTGTTCTTTCTATGGTGTGTACTTGACTCACCATCTAAAAAGACCCTTTTAGCAGTTTCTTTATTTGCTCCTGTCCAACCTTTCTCCACGAAGCTATTAAAGAAATCCAGGAGTGTGTTAATTCGACTGTGTGCACTTGCCTCGCCATTAAAAATCCTTTTAGCTGTATCGCTACTTGCTCTTGTGCTGCCTCCTGCCAAGAAAATAAGAAATCCAGTAGTTTTTCATTCGACGGTGTGCACGTGACTCACCATAAAAAAGCCTTTGAGCAGATTACCTATTTGCTTCTATCCTACCTTTCTCCACCAAGATAATAAGAAAGAAACCCAGGATTCTGTTCATTTGACGGTGTGCACTTGTTTTACGACCTAAAAACCCTTTTAGCAGCATCACTAATTTAGCAGTATACTGTGCTCCCTTCCCCTGCCAAGAAAATTAGAAACCCAGGAGCTTGTTCATTCGACAGTGTGCACGTGACTCACTATCTAAAAATACCCTTCTGGCAGTTTCTGTATTTGCAGCTGTGCTACCTGTCTCCACCAAGCTAATAAGAAAGAAACCAAGGAGTGTGTTCATTCGACAGTGTGCACTTGCCTTACCACCTAAAAACCCTTTTAGCAGTATCGCTATTCGCTCCTGTGCTGCCTTCTCTTGCCAAGAAAATTAGAAACAGAGGAGCTTGCTCATTCGACGGTGTGCACGTGACTCACTATCAAAAGGCCCTTCTATCAGTTTCTGTATTTGCTCCTGTCCTACCTGTTTCCACCAAGCTAATAAGAAAGAAACCCAGGATTGTGTTAATTCGACGGTGGGTACTTGGCTCACCACGTAAAAAACACATTTAGCAGTATCGCTATTTGCTCCTGTGCTGCCTTCCCCTGCCAAGAAAATTAGAAAAGCAGGAGCTTGTCATTCGACGGTGTGCACGTGACTCACCATCTAAAAAGACCTTTTCAGCAGTTTCTCTATTTGCTCCTGTCCTACCTGTCTCCACCAAGATAATAAGAAAGGAACTCAGGCGTGTGTTCATTCGACGGTGTGCACTTGCCTCACCATTAAAAAGAACTCTTTTAGCAGTATCGCTATTTGCACGTGTGCTGCCTTTATCCACCAAGGCAATAAGAAAAAATCCCATGAGCTTGTTCATTTTACTGTGTATATTTGACTCACCGTGTAATGAGACCATTTTAGCAGTTTCGCTATTTGCTCCGGTGCTGCTATTCTCTGCCAAGTCAATAAGAAAGAAACCCCAAGAGCTTGTTCATTCGACAGTGTACACTTGTCTCTATGTTTAAAAAGACCATTTTCAAGGTTTCGCTTTTTGTTCTTGTGCTGACCTTCGCAGCCATGTCGAAAAATATAAAGGGCTTTTTTATTTGACGGTGGACACTGACTAATTGTGCTGGACAAAAAAAAAGGAGAGAACATGGTTTGTGAACCGTGCGAGAAAAAAGCCCGGCTAAGCTACTTTGTTGGTGCCTTTGACCAACATAAACCTAAACAATTTTTTGCTTACTTGTCGTAGACAGATGTTCAAACAGAGGAAATATTACACAACTTTGAAAATAAGGTCGTGATAATGGGTATATTTCTAGATTTTAGTAAAGCTTTCGATCGGGTAAACCACTAAATTTTATTTGAAAAGTTAGAACATTATGGGTTACGTAGGACAGTGTTACAACTTAATAAATCTTATTTGAAAACGCACTACCAATACGTTGAACTAAATAAATGTAAATCACGCCTTAGGCCTATTGAATATGGGGTTCCTCAGGGTAGCATACTAGGACCGAATCTCTTCCTTTTCTATATTAATGCTATTGTAAGAATCTATGAGGATTGTAAATATATTATATATGCCGACGATTGCTCGATATTCTTGAGGGAAGAGGCTTGGAGACCATAATACGAAAGGGTGATACATTCTGTCATAACTTACAGATCTGGTGCAAGTTCAATAGGCTTACCTTAAACGAATCCAAAACTAAATGTGTGTTGTTCCGTGCCCCGGGCATTTTAAGAAGCATCGACGATTATATAACTCTTGAGCCATTTCAAATCAATATCGACAAAAATATTGAGATTTTTGGTGTAATTGCTTCAGAAAATATGTCCTGGAATGAACATGTGAGAACCTTAGTGCCGGATTTGGGCAGAGCAGCCGGTGTATTAGGCTGAAACCGTCACACTTTTTCTGTTAGCATTAAAAGAATGATATATTTCGCGCTCTTCAACTCTCACTTATATTATTGCGCGCTAATATGGGGAAACAGAACATTATCAAACTTACAGCAAATATTCTTGGTCCAGAAAAAAGCACTTCGTTCAAGTGAAAACGTCTCGTTTCTAGAACACACAGAACCTTTATTCCACAAACATAAAATTATGAAGATTCACTGCATATACAAGCATAAACTACTGAGAATATACAAAAATGCCACATTAGAAGGAACACAGCTATTCGAAGAAATTGCAAATCTTCGAGCAAATACAATTTCCTATCCTTACAGGTATCACCCACCATACCACGTTCCTTTCTCGCGCACCCATTATGGGAAAGAAAAACTTGATCATGTACTAGCAACCACAATAAATGAACTAGAACAAAGAAATGTTGACGTTCTTAACTTTACTAACAAAACCCTACTAGATCTGTTTATGAAAATGTATTAGAACTACTCATGTTTGTATATTTACAGTAGCTGGTTTTACTAAAGCGATTGTAACTTAAAACATACATTGATGTTTTTTTTTCATTAGAACACCGTAGTCTGCATAACTACTTTTCTAACTACTAAGCGCATTGTATATGCTGTGGCTATATAGACTTGTTAGTTGTTTTGCCCTGTCACTACTGCAGTACGGGTGACCAGAGCTTAGTCAAGCTGCGCAAGCGCAGCTTTTTTTCTCTGGTCCCCTATTTTCGCAGTGACAATGCGCTGTATTGTCTGAAGCGAAAATAAAGTTTTATCTGATTTGATGATGATGATGATGATAAAGGTGATGAGATGTCAGGCACGCATTTGTTCAAATATTTTATTTTAGAAATATATATTGTGGTGTTATATGAGATTTTGGGGCTTTAAACCTTTTTTCTGCCTGCCTATTTTTGCAGCCTTAAAATAAATTTTGGAGCGCAGGTAAAGCTGGCTTCTACTCATTACTTTTTCTTTAGAGAGCGCCTATACAGTGTACGCGCAATGAAATTCAGTACATGCGTAATGACATGAAAGCAGGCGAAGTAATCCTGTCACTCTTTCCTTTGATCATAGTGTTTTGTTTTTTTGCTTGAGCCCCGGGAGAGACCATTCGTGGGACCTTTTTTATGCCGTTTGTTGGCTGCCAGCGAACGAGCGTGTTATTTGATCAGCCGATCATTTGTGCCGCCCGATCGCGCATGCGCGCTACCTACCGAAAATACATTATATAGAACATTACCGGGCAAGGTGACTCTTAAGTGCTCCAAAGGCAGAGGCTGGGCATCTACGTGCTAAACACTCTCTTGTTAGGGACGCCCACTTAACGATGCTGTAGGCGGATGACGTTTGGACATCTTAGTCGTAGCCACAAGTAGACGATGTTTGGTGATGCGATGTAAGCGTGGACACGTTCGGCGTGACATTGGTGTTGCCGTAGCTGCGCATATACAGAGTGTAACAAGCGCCGCTTACATGCCTTCGTCGACGCATCCAAATGCCGGCACCGAAAACGTTCAGCGTACTCCTCATTGTGTTCTGCTGTCTGCTCGCTGTCCTTGACCAGGCCTCTTCCAGAAGGGTCCACAGGTGCTTCCTGGCTCGAAAGCTTCGTGAGGCCGGGTTTCACCGCTACCACATTTTGCACTGTGAGTACCGACACTCTCAGCTCCCCTCCTTTTCGTCCGGTTGGTGGATTTGCACTGAATATGTTGTTCAAGGAGAGCGATTTAACACTCCTCCAGCGTGACAACCGCAAACAACGCACCGTCTAGATGCACTCCGTAAAGCGTGTGCGCTTTGTTGTGTTAACCTCCTAATATTTGTTTTTTTTGCTAAGCAGACTACTTCAGCATGCACTCGCGCGTGCGCTGTTGCTACTCACGTTCGCTTTCTTCAAGCCTGTTGATAAATATCTAGCACACGGTTGTTGTCTGCGTTAAGCCATGACATTTCGGCGTGACAGGGTAAGATAGCGCCGCACGGAGCTAGTATGCAGGTTGCTTATTCAGCGTCAAGTACACGGGCCGATTGTTTTAGTGGCGCAACGATGGAGCAGCTCCAATAGTGTAGAGTTACGTCTGCCGCCACGACAATAGCCGTAGTTGTATGACAACAGTGCATGCAGCCTGAGAACGTTTGAAGCAAGACTTACCAAATTATTATTAATTGAAAATTACCAAGGCTTCACTGAGGATGATGTTATAATGTATATGACGTGTTTCAACGCGTCAAATCTCCCTCCTATCCTAATGCGTTCGCGTCATTTCTAAACGACACCGATCCCTCCCAAAGGGGCACCGCAACCAGGCAGCCTTGAAATTTCATTAACATCTTTCTTGCGGGCGTAGGTTGGTATCTTCAAGGAATACGTCTACTACATGATCCGGCAGAAAACGAAGAAATTTAGGTGTTGTGATAATAAGGGTGTAGAACTATGAATTATCTAACCAAATTTATCACAAATTGCCCAGCGATGAAAGCGAACTGAATGCAAATACGACTCGACTAATTTTGTATAGTTTTTGAACAGTGAGGCCGCTGTTTTAAATGGAGCCCAGTAACTCCTCACAATTTTATTTGAGAAAAGTAAGCACCCACGCTGTATCAATGATTGCGGTGATCGGCTGCTGAACTGAAGGTTGAGGGTTCAATCCTAGCAGAAGAGGTTGCATTTCGTGGAGGCGAATAGGGAGAGACCCGTATACTGTGAGGTGTCCTCACACGTGAAAGAAGACCAGATGGTCGGTGTTGCCGGAGTCCTCCACTATGGCATTCCTCTTAAACATATAGTGATTTAGGGACGTAAAACAAAATAGGCAGTTTGAAAATTGGGGCTCCGAAAAGGTTGGGGACCCAAGAAGCTTGCGACGCACCAGGGTGCATGTGCAGAACTCAAGCCAATCTTGGGCTCTTGCGTTCTTGCTGACCCAAGGCCCAAACCTTTTGGTTCAGCACTACCAAAGCTATGGGGTGTAAGCAAGCCACATACTTGTGCAGAAAAGCATAGTCCCAGATATATTAGGTGCCCTAAAATTGGCCGGGTGGGCAAAAATTGGTGTTTGTTTGGTGTATGATACGCGACATCACTATGTAATACGTTTGTTGTTTGCATTTAGGTCGTGCGCACGAAATTGTGTCTATTACCCCCGGTAACTGCATTTCCAAATCAAGATTGCAGCATCCGTGCAAAAGCGACCGCTCGCTTTGATCCGAACTTGCTCTTGCTACACTCCCACTGCGCTGGAAGGAACTAATGATTGGTGAAATTCACCATCGATTTCTTTCATTTTACTCTGAGGATAAAACATCAGGTACGTGCTGTCGTTATTAGCGAGATATGTTGCTTGCTTAGCCTGACACGCTAAGACTAAGGCGCCGAGGCACGGCTTGGGCTGCGTCACCAGACCAAGAACGCTGCATCTTCAAACATCGGACATGCAACACGGCCCAGCGTTTCGTGCGCGTCAAATCCTCCTTCGTTAAAAACGAAAAAGAGAGAAAGAAAATATTGCAGCGGGACACGCGACGGAACGCGTCGAAGGAGAAGCAGTTATACGAGAACACCGATAAACATCGCAGAGAAATGGGCACAAAGTGAAGGTATCCGCCGGGATAAGCGCGTACCGAGCTTCAGGATGCAGAACAACAAATCCACGCTTCAAGTTCCTGGTGTGGACTGATGGTTTCAACAGTTTTTACTGTATTTTCAAGTTATCAAACTAGGCCTCATCTACGATGAGTTTGTATAGACAAATCAGCGAGCAGATGCCGTGAAGACGTTTAGAAGACGACATGGCACGAATGAATAAACGTGGAGAGGCTAATTGCCGTTTTTATTGGCTTAGCGGCCCAGTAGCCTCCACAGTGCTGAAGGTTGAGGAGCCAAGGCGTTTTGGATCACCCGCACGACGAAGCAAATGCAGCACGAGCCATGCTGTAGTATGGCCCGCGTCTCGTATAAATTTGAATTTGGCCATGGGTGGCGCCCCGTGCGTTTGATCCAATGCAGCCTGCGTTTGACCCAATTATCAAACTATTATGTTCCTGCGAACGCAAGAGCAACCCCGCAACGAAGCTTGAGGACCCAGTTTTATGGGCCCCCAACTCTCAAACTCGCTAATATATTATAAAGGAGATTGATTGTAGAGCTGCTTTCTGGTTAGGCAATGCACCTGCTACAGGTCACGAGCTCGCACCTCTGCTTCACGCTCGATGCTGCTGCTCTGCGCCAGAGTACTTCCTCTCATTAGAAGAATAATTATGCATTAGGTTGAATATTCTCAATTCTAACAAAAAAACTGGCAGATCGCACGTTCAGTGGGAATGATGATATGTGAAGCACGAATGAGAAATGTGATATGTCACTTTAAAATCAGGACAACGTGACCAGGTGGAGGTAAATGATGCCGTACTTGACTTCCGGTCATGATTACCATGTTGAATGTGTCATTTACCATCGTCCTACTCACGTGCTAACACATACGGCCCAATCGAAGCAGCACCATTGATCATCTCTGTGAGACCGCCTAAGCCAGACGAAGTTCGGACGAGAGATAAAGGGCTGGTATACACAAAACCCGAAACCTTAGGTGAAGGGCTGGTAGACGACCAGACCTCATTCAGACAGTTTATTTAAATAGAGGCGATCGAATAACTCTAAGCCAAAAGGGAGCAACGGGGTTATAGAGGTTGCTCCTTTCGGGAGCAATCGCATTGCCACTCCTATTACTCAGCTAAAAGCAGCAACTGTAGGCGGACGAACCATTGCTCTTGTTTCAGTTCCTCCTTCAGGTTATGACAGTTACTCCTCCGTTGCTCCCCGAGAACCAACCAATGCTCCCACCCGTTGCTTTCCTAAGACAAAGGGCTAGTCTTGACCGTTACTCTCGCATTTTCGTAAGTTACTCTCTGAGGAGCAAATGCTTATTCCTCCAGTTACTCCTGGGGGAATGAATATTTATTCTTGTCAGATGCTCAAAAACGGCCTAAGCTCCTTGGAAGAGCCTTTTTTATGGGCTTGTAACAACAGAGTGGACGAGTTTTAAAGAAGAGAAATGCTTATCAAATGCGAAGCATTCTTAGGGAACTCCAGCGAATTTGAACGTATCTATCTATCTATCTATCTATCTATCTATCTATCTATCTATCTACTATCTATCTATCTATCTATCTATCTATCTATCTATCTATCTATCTATCTATCTATCTATCTATCTATCTATCTATCTATCTATCTATCTATCTACTATCTATCTATCTATCTATCTGTCTATCTATCTATCTATCTACTATCTATCTATCTATCTGTCTGTCTGTCTGTCTGTCTGTCTGTCTGTCTGTCTGTCTGTCTGTCTGTCTGTCTGTCTGTCTGTCTGTCTGTCTGTCTGTCTGTCTGTGTCTGTCTGTCTGTCTGTCTGTCTGTCTGTCTGTCTGTCTGTCTGTCTGTCTAGCGGCTTACGTTCGGTTGCTCTCGTGGTCACCCCTTTAACTAGGCGTGAACCAAAATTAGCATGAGAGGGTAATATGGTTTGACGAATATGATGCGCTGGTCAAGACATGATTAATATCCCAATTTGGTCGTGTACGTCATCAAACACGTCCCGTCAGCCAGTGGCACATACTCTCGGCGTGGTATTTGCCAGATGGTATGCGGGTGTGTGCCACATGTGATTGGGACTTGATGTTTACCGAGGAACGACAAGAACACACATGGGCAGTGTTAACGCGCGAGTGTCAAGAAATACCTGACATCGGTAACGTCGACCCGACTAATCTAAAAAATAAATGTCACGGTCCTATCTGAAATCAAACCCACACATTCTGCGTGGCTACGGGCAATTTTACCACAGAGCTACGCCAGGTCTCGCCACTGCTTTTGAAATAGGTGCCAATCTTCGTGAAATGTCAATAGTGGTTGCAGCCCTGCCTACCCATTACATATATACTTCTTTGATACAGCCGTCACCTTGGATTAACGTGGATTGTGGTTAGTTTTCATGCGCTGAAGCTGATTTATGTAGCAGCGTCCAGTGCCAGCATCCTCGCGAGGGTCAGGGCTTCATATACGCTTTTGGCATTGCAGGAACCGTTCTATCGAGTTTTCCAGTCTGACTGCAGCACCAGAGTACATAGCCTCGCGGATTGAAAAAAGCAACCTTGTGAAGGCCTCAATGGAAATGGAACATGACGCGCACGGTTGGCGCCCTGCATCTGTTGGCGGATTGTGACTGGGATACACGAGGGACGTGAGCATGCATCTATTTCCCGCGTGGCCCTAACGGTGAATCTCAAAGACTTTGAGATGGGGAAGTTTGAGCAACCCAGCTCCATCTGGTCAGTGTACGGTGCCTATAGCATCGTTACGCATGTGCAAACAACTGCTTACATAAACATCTGCAACTCTTCAAATATTTCTGCGCGTTTAACATTTGTACTTATATCTAGCATCTTTTCATGACGTGTCACTCAATAAAAAAATGCAGCACGGTCACCTTCCCTTTGCATGCTTCGCATAACGGCACTTCTCAGATATACATGAGAACTGCTGACTTTTTTTGAGGCGGCGTGTGAGCAGAGATAGTAGAGTTCACCTGCCAACACGAACTGAGTGACATAATACATCAAACATTTTCTGTGTCTTCCGTGGGAAAAATGTCGAATTCCCAGTACAGGGCAGTCTGTGTCATCATTACAAAAACAAGGTAAACTTCTCCACTTGTGTAGGACTCGAGTTGCGCAGGACTGTTGTTTCCATCAAGCTAGCGCAGGGGAATGCCACCGAAGGTGTATGTGAGGCATCGCATTGCTGCAAGAAGAAACAAAAGTGTGAGGTTTACACGCCAGAATCAATACATAATAGTGAATCTCTCTCCCTCTCTCTCTCACACCCACACACACAGCGCGCGCACACACACACGCGCGCACGCACGCACCAACACACACACACACACACCACACACACACACACACACACACACACACACACACACACACACACACACACACACACACACACACACACACACACACACACACACACACACACACACACACACACCACACACACACACACACACACACACCACACACACACACACACACACACACACACACACACACACACACACACACACACACACACACACACACACACACACACACACACACACACACACATTGAAGCAGGGTTTACATTCTAAGACGTCTACTGTAACATGAATTGTGAAATCAAATGGTGGGTTTTGTGATACGTTACTTGGCAAGCCTATATCAGTGTTTATGTAATGAACTCTCTTCACATGATGTCTTCACACCCAGCCGTGAACGTTAAAGCCAATGAGAGATAGTACCAGTATCAAGACGGGAACAAACCCACTCAATGTTATTTATTGCGAAATAGGTATTTGCGGAATAGTGAAAAATGAACATTTAGCAGCAAAAAGACCTGTCCCTGCAGTGAAGACAAAAGCAGCAAGAGGGGCTGCAGGCAGGTAACAAAAGGGGTTACATAGTACCATACAGTGTCAAATGATACGGTGTAAAAAGAAGAACAGGTCTTTTTTTGATAAAACCACAGCAGTCAACAATGTCTTTGGAAAAAAAATGGCCGCATATCCACGGAGTGAATGATGGAGAGTGGGGCGAAGCATTCGTCAGTCCATTCGTTCTTCCTTCCGTCCGTCCATGCGTCAGTCTGTGTGACCGTCCGTGCGTCCACCCACCCGTCCATGCGTGCGCCTGTCCTTGCGTCCGTCCCTTGCTTCTTCCATGCATGCGCCCCTGCGTCCGTTCATGCGTCCATCCATACATCTGTCTGTGTGTCCGTTTGTCCATCTATTCAACAATCCAAGTACCACCATCTCGCATCTTTTCATCATATATTCCCCATATAGAAGCACCGCCATTCAGTGGACATTCCAAGGACTAAACGAGAGGTGGCCCACGCACACTTTCTTACAGCTTGCGCTTCGGGTCTACTTCCCACCTTTAACCACCTCAAGTTCATAGTATATACTAGTTCACTGTATTCATGGCACTGCGACCCAACGCTCGTTAAACCTTTCTAAAACCAAGGAATTTATGCTCAGCGAGTATAACGTTGCAACCTTTTCCTGTCAGATAGTGCTCATTGCACAAGCCAATGGCTGCTAATGTGAAATGAGAGACAGGAGAATTCGGCTTTCACTTTTTACGGCTTGCACTTCGTATCTACTTCCCACCTTTAACCACCTCGAGTTGATGGTATATACTAGTTCACTGTATTCATTGCACTGCGGCTCAACGCTCGCTAAACCTTTTTAAAACTAAAAAGATTAAACCCAGCGAGTATAACGTAGTGACCCTTTCTTGTGCTGATTGTACATGCCAATGGCCGCTAATTGGGAATGAGAGACGGGAGCATTCGGCTTTTAGTGAACGCGCACGCCGCGAACTTTTAATTGGTCAACAAAGCACAAGAAGAATCTCCCACCAGCACCACCTTGCAGGTCAAAATGTAACCCTTCTTACACCCTACAGCTACAACTACGAGGAACGAACGGGTGCCGCTTTAAGGAGCTTCACCCCTAAAAAACAATCGGGCAGCTGCTCGAGAACTCACCGTATTGCACATGCCGGGAACAAGCACAAACGTTGGAGTGGAAAACCCTACTAGCAATGTTAGACTGCGATTCCATACATATTGTAAGATCATTAAAGTAGTCTGAAATGCGACGCAGTTGCCGTCACCACTCAACTGGAAGCTGATGAATGCAGAGTCTTTTGTCCGACGAGCCAACTGGCTTGCAGACAGTTGAAGACACGTTTACGTCGTGTTTGTTCCATTCACCAGCAAACTCCACAACAACGTTGTGCGCACCAAATATCTGCGTACACTAAACTCCATCACGAATAAGCAGAAACGCAGAAAATTGGCAGATCCCCCGTACAGTGGGAATCGGTGATATGCGAAGCACGAATGATAAATGTTGATAAGTCACATTCACATCAACACAACGTTATGAGGTAGAAACAAATGTAACGTACATGACATCCGTGTCATGATTACCATGTTTGGATGTGTCGTTTACCTTTGTCATATATTCATGTCTCGTGATACCAAATTTAGTATAAGTGGAGCTAGTGAAACAGCCGCGAGCACGCTATGAGCGTGGTATCTTGTCATGTTCTTACATGACACGCGTGTCAGGATTATCATGTTTGCACCAGTCATATATTTGGTCGTCCATTGACGTCATACACCACCAACTTTGGTATATGTGGAGCTGAAAAATGGACGCAAGCGCATCATGAAAGGCCCATTATACTCCAATGGAGCATTGACGCGTGCGCACGCTCGGCACAGCGACTCTACTTCAGCAGAACGAAAGCACTCTATAGTCTGACGCCAGGCGCAACCAGCGTCTGTTGGCGCGGCCCGACGGCAACCGGCGCGAAATGCGACCTGCTGCATTTCGCTCAAATGCGTTACCCAGACAACACTGCGTCTCCATCTTTTCGTGACGGAAAGATGCCGGACGCGCTGAAATGCGCATGCTTCAAAGCAACACAGCGCGGCGCGCGCCATCGAGTATATGGCAGGACCAGCGCCTGGATTTGTGGGGTTTAACGTCCCAAAACCACCATATGATTTTCAGAGACGCCGTAGTGGAGGGCTCCGGAAATTTTGACGACCTGGGGTTCTTTAACGTGCACCCAAATCTGAGTACACGAGCCTCGACATTTCCGCCTCCATCGGAAATGCCGCCGCCGCAGCCGGGATTTGAACCCGCAACCTGCGGGTCAGCAGCCGAGTACCTTAGCCACTAGACCACCACGGTGGGGCGACCAGCGCCTGGCGTGGCGACGCTAGCGTGACGTGACGAATTGAACGCCGGCGAGCATGCGCACAGTGTCACGTCAAAATCTATTGGCGCATTAACTATGGCATGTAGTCATGTTCTCACATGACACGCATCTCATGATTATCATTTTTGCACCAGTCACATACCTTCGTCATTCATAGGCGTCACGTAGAACCACATTTGGCCTATGTAAAGCTAGCGAAACAGCCGTGAGCACATCATCATTGTGGTGTGTAGTAATGTTGTTACATGACGCGCATGTCGTGATTATCATGTTTGGATGTGTCATTCACCTATGTCGTCATTCGCGTCACGTAATACCGAGTTTGTTACATGTGAAGCTAGCGAAACAGCCACCAGCGCATCATGAGCGTAGCATGTAGTCAGGTTGTTACATGACGCGCATGTGATGTTTATCATGCTTGCACCAGTACCATACCTTCGTCATCTATTCACGTCCCGTAATGCCGAATTTGGTATAAGCGAAGCTAGAGAAATGGCCACCAGTGCATCATGAGCGTGGCATGTAGTCATGTTACATGTCACGCATCTCATGATCATCATGTTTGCACCAGTCATATACTCTCATATTGAGTTCACGCACTGTAATACCAAATTTAGTATATGTGACGCAAGTGAAACGGCCGGGAGCGCATCATGAGCGTGGCATGTAGTAACATGAAATGACACGCATTTCATGAGTTTCATGTTATTCTCTGTAGCTTGTGTTCGCTAGGCATTCCTGCCATAGCATACCAGTTTTGGAACATGCCATGTGAACGAAACCACTGCAAGAGCTGCAGGACCATGAAATGTAAATCATCCAATTCATGACATACGTGTCATGATTTTCATGTTATGAGAAGTCAAATCTTTTCCTCATACAGTCACTCATATTATGTCATACCAAGTTTTGGTATCGATAGCATTATCGAAACGGCCAGGAGAGCTAAAAGTCGTAGGTGGCTAGATAGATAGATAGAAAGATAGATAGATAGATAGATAGATAGATAGATAGATAGATAGATAGATAGATAGATAGATAGATAGATAGATAGATAGATAGATAGATAGATAGATGCGCTCAAAGTCACCGAAGTTAGCTAAGAAATGCTTCGCATTTAATATGGAGAGCACACGCACGAGCTAAACATGGCACACCGCCATGCCCATCCAATTGCTCACCGACCACCAACCATATGACAGGAGTAGGATGAACGCGGACCTAGTTACGCTGGGAAAACGTCAGAGGGTGGCAGAACAGCGGTCAGTTGAAGGCTTATAGTGCGCTTTGTAACTACACTTTTAAAAATATTTACTTATATTGCAAGTAATATTTATTCAAGTTCATATTGTAGTTAAAAATTTTATATAGTATTAGTATGCAGAAAACAATAAATAATTATCACTTTATAAGGACTACATCACTTGCTATGCTAGCACCATAGTTGTCGCGTGCAAGCAGGTTTGTCACTTTGCACTCACCATTTCTCTTGCAGTGTACTACGAAGTTGTGTGACTGACTAAAGGCGCCTCTGGGCTTGCTTCTTTTTTAAATCCTTTTTTGAGCATTTTGCACGTGTTTCGCGGGTGAGGAGGGAGAGGTGTTGGGGGGCTTTGACGATCGTCACCTTCCGTGTGGAGACGAA